TTTTTTTTTTAATTTATTGGTCCCTTTTAAGAGTATAGCAATGTATACTATAGAAAATCGGAACTAAAGGAAAAAAACCTGTAACTACCATTTTGTAATAAGCACTGTTAACATTTTTTATTAACAGTCTCTTTTTGTGTGTCCATCTCTTGCTGTCACTCAGTCACACACATCTTTTTGTAGCCTGTTTTCATCACATAGCAATAAAATGTTAGGGGCTATGAGACTTGACTCCAGAGTCCTAGAGGCCTTTCCTCAAAAGTCAAAAGAGGCAGGCATACTAGAGAAAGTGGCTCCCAGGTATAGCTGTGAACCCCTGCATCCAAAAGTGGAGCCTGCCAGATCCTCCTTTGAGCTCCAAACATGGAGAAAACTACTTCCCCAGCACAGCCTGCAGATCCTGGCAAGTAAAAGGGAAAGGACCCCTCCCTGGATTGGGGGAGAGGGAAGCATGCACAGCTGTGTGTGCCTGATTCTGTCCCACCCTCCCTAGTCATCCTCATCACAGGGCCATTGGCCTCTGACCCACTTCTCTAGTGGGAAAGGAGAAGGTGTTCATGAGCAACCACACAAAAGAAACTTCCAAATAGTGCCAAAGGTTATAAACAAAGTCCTGAGAAGCAGAAAGAACGTCCAGAAAAAATGCATGAAGACTGAATGCCAGAACTACCTCTTAGGAACCAACCACCCCAAAGATGAGCAGAAAGACAGCTCCACAGGAGACGGGAATCCACATGTTGCTCAAATCTACACATTCTTTTGCACTGTTTCAGATTCCTTGATGGATGGGGAAAGGAAGTGACCCTATTTGCTTCCATCTTTCACCTCAGTATAACACCACAACTAGAAGGCATGTTTTCTTAACTAAGACACACGGCAAAGCTCTGAGAAAGGGCACTGAAAATAAAATGACTCTCAGATCCTCCCGAGCAGAAAAGAAGAGTGCCCTGAGATCTGGGGAGTGGGCAGGCAGAAGAGGAGGAAAGCTACCCACAAAGAGGGGTCTGAGACACAGCATGGTACAATGTGCAACAGGACTGCACGTGACAAATCTTAGAATCAGAAAGTGCTGGGTATAAATTATGATCGTACTCTTTGTGGGCTGCATAAACGTAAGCAAGTTATTTTACCTCACAGCCTTGGTTTCTTTCATGTGTACATGTAAGATACCAAAAAAAAAATGTGGGCCAATGGTGATGATGCAAGCAATGTGCTCAAAGGTAGCTCTACATGGTTTAAAGTAACAATAGTGATAAACTCTACCAGCAAGACTTTTTCCATGAACACCCAGCCTTCAGAAAAGGCAACTCCACCAACATACCCACTATTCCCCCACCCGCTACCATGGAGATTGAGTAAACATGTCCGCTGGGGAAGGTCAGCAGGGCCTAGACTCAGAAGTGACTTGCTTGCAGGAAGCAAGTTCCCTGATAGCAGCTGAACTTTAGAAGCAAGTGCTTCTAAGCTCTGATCGTTGTCTTCAAGCCCCAAGGATATGAACCCAGAGCATTAGTGTTCAGTAAGTGTGAAATTCAAGGGCGTGCACACTAGTAAAAGCTTAGTGGTTAGAGGCTAAAGGTCTGCTGGATGTTCAGCTGGTCGGGAGTCATCCTGTTCTCACCACTACCCAGCCTGCAGCTGCATGCCCCACATTCTCATGAAAACTACCACCTGCTCCTCCAAGTTGTCTGATTTCTCTAGCTTGGCTAAGTCTCTAGCTGAGGTTCCTCATTTAATCCTGCTTTCTGCCTGGAATCCTCATTCCTTTTTCACTCATTTGGTACACTCTTACTGTCCTTCTAGACACAACTCAATTGTCACCCCATCCACAGAGGACACACAACCTTACCAAACTTGACAGAGCAATGACCTCTTTCCATTCCCACTTTCCTCCTCCACAAGTATGACAGATATGGAATGAGTAAGTAAATATACCTAAGGGAACCATCTTAAACCTTCCATCCCTAGATACACAAACCTACTTTTTTCAAAAAAAGCAGTTTTCAGTTAAGTATTTGGAGCTCGGTGAGTCAAAAGATTTTGACAACCCTTTCAGATTCTGAAATTTTAATCCTTCCAAAGAGTAAACTAGATGTATATGCACAAAAAGACCAAAGATGGAAAACACATGCACAAAAGCCAAGACAGGGCCCGCCCCGAATCTCGGGCTTTGCCTGCTGGTACTCCACCCTCCCAGAGTTGTGGGAAGCAGCTGGATTCCTGTTCCCCTTCTGGAAAGCCCTGATAGACCTACATCATCACAGCACTTGCCACAGGCATGTGGGACCTGTCCCCTAAGCACAGCTGGACCACAAGGCCCACTTCCAACATCAATTACACACAGAGTGACATACTCCAAGCTTTTGTGACAGCCTCAAAGTGTCTTAAGATCATGTTTCAGAGAGTTTACAGCAGCATTTTCCAAAGTGCAGTCCACAAAACTCTACTTACATCCAGTGTTCCATGTAAAAAGGGTTCCGCACCACAAACAATCTGTGAATGCTGCTGAGCCCTCCACTGGCACGTATGAACAGTGAAGGCTTGAGAAAGAAGGCCAGCTTACATGTAGGGGAGCCATATTTGATCAGCATTAAACAAATGTATTCAATGAAGAAACTCATCTTCTGGTAACAAGCTTTAAAATTCTGAGGTCCACACTTCAGGAAAAGTTCATTTATCTTGGGGTCTTCTTCCACCCCACCCCCCCCACCAAAGTGCCAGGAGCACAGTACTCACAGATACTAACCTACAACCAGAAACAAACTCAAATCTGAATGGAAACTGCTATTAGTACTTCAAGGTGATCAGAAGCTTTGCCTCAACCTAGGCCATTAGCTGAGGAGTATTAGGTATTTGGGGTGTAGGCACAGCAGCAGCAAATCCATTGCAAGGTGTATTTGGATCCCAAGCAGTCCCTGAATCCACACTACCTCCTTACCCAGTTTTATGTACAGCCAGCTCCTAGCAGGGAAAATAAAACAGACCCACAGATCGATCATCTGCTGGTACAACTCGAACAGAGAAGCTAAGAAATTGAAACAAAAAAGTATACAGGCTGAAGGGGCGGGGCAGACTCTTAGAAGAGCTGTGATAAGGAACCAGCCTCTGCTGGGCAGAGAGGGGAAGGAGAAGAGCCAGTGCAGCAGAGAACAAACGGGAAAGACAGTCTAATTCTTCAGGGAGCCAGGAGATCCTGCACAGTTTCTGAACTGTCAACCTTTAAACAGGTTCTATCAGCAACCCCTGAAATCCCCCGTGGAAGGAGAAAGGAGGTGCAGTCTCTTTTTCAGCCTAAGTTGGAAGAGCTGGCTCGACACAAAGAGGACCCCATTCAAGAGTCTTGCCACCCGAGGGCCAGCAGAGTCCAGTCATTCCACTCAACACAGATCCAGGGCACCAGAAATCACAGCTTTCACTTACTTTTTAGATGGTAAGAGACTTTTACAGGGTGGGCATTGTGGACATGGCTGAAGCCAAAAAGATGAAAAGAATTTGAGTTCTCCTCTGTGCTGTTTCAGGTCAGGGTTGGCTAGTGATTGTGTTGACTCCACCTGTTCCTGATGTATTGGAAGGGAAAAGGGAGAGGTCAACAGAAGGCAAAAAGAAAAAAACAATTGGTGTGCAAAACACGTCTAGTCAGGTTTTAAAACCAAACAAACTCATCCCTGCGGGAAGCTTACTCACCGAGGTACTAGGGAGCATGTGAGGAAGTACCCCAGAGATAACACAACACGTAGGTGTGGGGCAAATCCTGGGTATGCACAAAACACACGTACAGTCATGTGCTGGTGTAAGGCACCAGAGAGGTCCCTGCTGGAGTCCTGGTAAAAGCACATCCAGAGGGAGCAAGAGAGAGGAGGGAGCAGAGCCAGGACAAGGCCTGGGCTTGAGTACCGGGAACTGCCAACTAGAGACAGGAGGGGTGGGGTGAGGAAGAGAAGTGGAAATGATTGAAACCCAATGTGTCCCAGCTGTTGTGGAGTGTCTTACTTCATTCTCAATTCTATGGGGCAAACAGAGGCTTGGAATACTTGGAGATTTATAGACTGCCAATCTAGTGACCAAGCTAGGAGCTGAGGTAGCAGCTCTGACTCCAAGGCACACTTGTGTTCTTCAACTACATGTTGTCTCCCATCTGACTGCAGGAAGGGGGCAATCAGGGCCCTTTTCCGGGAACAGGGAGAGAGGTGACTGATAATACAAATTGGACAAAGAACTATTAAAAGAGAGGGGAACAGGCAGCTTTGTCTTTTGCGTCCAAATAGCTATTTTCCCCCCAGCATTTTCTGTGTGCCTCTGTGTTAGGCGCTGGGGTTAGGGATGAGCAAGAACAGTCCTTGCTGTCAAGGGCCTTACAGTGAGGTGAGAAGTCACTTAAGTAAAAAGACCCCAGTACCAGTGCCAATAAGCGCCCAAGGCGGGGGAGGGCAGGACGCCTATCAGGTGCCAAGTAAATGCTGACCAAAGAAGAAAACGTGTAAATGGCAGGGGGTGGAATGTGGCCGTGGAGGCTGGGAAGTCGTGGGCGATGGGGGACCCCCACCTCTCAGTCTGAGGTCCTGTGTCCCGCCTCCTCCTCAGGACCACGGAAGGCCGGGTTAGCCAGGCTAGAGCGTGGGAACGCCCGTACAATCTGATCCCAAGTTCTGGGGATCCCAGAGGCCCACCCGTCTAGGCCAGACTGCTCAGGCTCTCCTGGCCGGGCCCGGCCGGTCCCTCTACCCCGGCGCGCACGCCCTCTCACCTTCACCTTCCCGGCCTCGCGGCAGCCATCACACCCGTACGTCACCAGCGAGCGCCACCCATGGGAGAGGCCGGGGGCGGGGAACGCGCGCGTCACCAGCCGCCGTAGGTTTGCTGCTCCGCCTGGGTGAGCCGGTGGACTCCGAGCACAGTCAGTTTAACCCGACTGCTCCTTATGCCTCAGGGTCCAGCAGCTCTGCGCTTCGAAGAGCGCCCAGGTTCTCTAGTTCACTGTCTGTGCGTCCCAAGCCGATGTCGTACAGCCTCCGAACTCTCACTGCATCATGGGAGTTGTAGTTTGGACCGGCGCCCGCCAGGGCGGGGTGGGGCGGGGCCTCGAGCTGTCAAGGGGTAAAAAACAAGGGCGCGGATTAGAGGTTCCCGCTCTTTTCGTTTGTTGCGCCAGAACCTGACCCAAGCTGCACCTGCCAGCTCTGGAATCCGGACTTGCATTTTGTAATTTTAGAGAAGTGTTTCTCAACAGGACGGGGCCGTTAGGGTGAAGTAATTCATCCAGGGGAGCAGGCTGCCCTTCGGTTACTTTTGAGGAAGTCAGAACAGCGACAACCGCATCAGACTTCTACTAAGTGCCATCACTGCATCGTGTACCTAACATGCATCCTTTTAGTCTTCGCAGCAATCCCAGGAGGCTCAGAAGGGAGGTGACCTAAGCTCACGTGTCACCTAAGTCACTGGCCCTTCATTATGTGCCAGGCACTAGGATACAGTAGAGACGGCCTCAGCAGGAGGGCTCCAAGACTGGGCCCTGCCACCTGCCACCTGCGGCTACTGAGCCCCTGAAGTCCAGCTAGTGCCAACCAAGATGTGCCCGAGACTTAGTATGAAAAAGAATGTAACCTATCTCATTCACATTTTTATATTGATGACTTTGAGATAATACTTTAGATTCATTGAGCTAATTGAAACACATTTCCTACATTAACTACACCTGTTTCTTTTTACTTTTAAAAATATGGCTACTAGAAAATTTTAAGTTACATAAATGGCTCACATTTTTTGTTTGCTTTTCCAAAAGGGGGTCTCACTATGCAGCCAAGCCTGCATGTAACTAGTGATCCTCCTGCCTTCACCCTCCCTGGTGCTGGAATTACAGGTATGTACCACCACACCCAGCTCTCATATTGTATTTTCTCACCCGCACTGTTGTAGTCAAGGTAGAATCTTGCCACAAATAGTCTCCAGCAGTAAATCAGTACTCCAGTGACTGACCTGCTTATCAGTCCAGTATCTGACTGTTCTAAGTGTCTGACTCTGGAATGTGGGGCCACACCTAGCTCCTGCCTGGAGTGTGGCCAAGCCTCTGAAATGTGGCATGCACTGGGGGCCTCAATTACCTTCTGCCTGATTGTCATTGTTTACTGCATAATCTCTGTCATTCCTGAGGGATGCTCGGAGGGCAGGAACTATGACTTCCATTTCCTTTCCTTTTGCCAGAGGGAACACTTTTTTTTTTTTGCAGTGCTGGGACTTGAACCCAGAACATACTAGCCAAGCACTCTACAACTTAAGCCACACCCCCAGACCGTGTGTTTGTATGTTGTTCTGAGACTAGGGTCTTCCTAACTTTGCCTGGACTGGTCTCCAACTGTCAGTTCCCCTGCCTCCTCTTCACTATACTCCCTGCAATCACTAGCCAGGCCCTGATCTCTTCCTGGAGAGCTGCAAGAGCCTCTGAGTCCATTCCCAGGCTTCTAGTCTGACCTCCTGCCCAGCACCTAGGGTTCTCTGAAACACAACCCAAACTGAGGCCCTTGCTTCAATCTCCTCAATGGCAAGGCTCTTGGGAATGAGTACAGGGCAGACTGGTGTGAAATTGCAGGGGGACCTTCCTTATGTTACTTATTCCTATTTTGATTCAATTTTTCATGGTGGACATGAGTTGCATTTGTAACCAAAAAAAGGTAACCATTAGAGTTAAAACCAGGTTATGGGGGTGTTCCTTGGCAGAGCACGTGGTTGGCATGTATGAGGCGCTGGGCTCAATCACCAGCATTACCCCTCAAAAACCCAACCCTAACATACACACACACACACACACACAATTGTGCTGTTTGAATTCATCATGAAAATTTTAAAAACTTAAAAATCTTTAAAAGACACACACACACACACACACACACACACAACCCTCAAATGAACCCACTGCCTCCCAGTTAAAAGTTCAAACTCTCTTTAGCTTAATGCTATAGTTTGAAAGTGTCCTCCATTGTATTCGTGTGCTGCAAACTAAATCCTTAGAAATTCATAAATTAATAGCATGTGGAGACTGGGCCTTTGGGAGGTAATCAGGGTGAGATAAGGTCCTGAAGGTGGGGCCCCCATGATTGACATTAGTAGCTTATAAAAGGCAGAGAACTGGGGCCGGTATCTGTAATCCCAGACACTCCCAACTGCAAGGGAGGCAGAGGAGACAGGAGGATCCTGGCAGGAGGCTAGTCTGGGGAAAGTTAGTGGATCCTATCTTAAAAACAAAATAGAGGGGGGCAGAGGTGTTGAAGTGGCTCTGTAGCAGGGAGGAGGATCAGGAAAAAAAAAAAAAACAAAACAGACTAGGCCTGAGTCCTGAGAAAGCAGCAGGGAGGTAGGGATGGCATAGCAGAAAGATAAAACCTGAGAAATCTGAACATGAGGAAGATCACGTAGCACCAGGGAGAGGAAAGTCATGTAGCACTAGGATAAAGTAGCCAATAAAATTAAATATAACCAAATATAGATTAGACCTTGCTTTTTGCTTCTGTAACCTGCTTGCAAGGATATATAAGGTGAGATCCCCTTTGTTCTCAGGGCTAAGCCTTTGGACACGAGTCCGCTAAATCTGTGCTGGCACAATGAAACATTGCTTCCTGCTAATTTCCTCAAGAGTCCCGTATCTCAGCTAGCAAACTCCCGCAACAGCTCAAAACAATGTATACACGTGTGAGTAAATGTAAAAATGATAAAATTAAATATAAATATGTAAAATACAGTAAGCCCACCTTATTTGCAGGTTTACTACATGATTTTTTTTTTTGGTGGCACTGGGGCTCGAACTCAGGTCCTCACAGTTACTAGGCAGGTACTCTAGCACTTGAGCCACTCCACCAGCCTTGTTTTTTGTGTTGAGTACTTTCAAGATAGGGTCTTATGGCTGGGTGCCAGTGGCTCATGCCTGTAATCCTAGCTACTCAGGAGGCAGAGATCAGGAGGATCATGGTTCAAAGCCAGTCTGGGCAAATAGTTCAAGAGACCCTATCTCAAAAAATCCATTGTAAAAAAAAAAAGGGGGGGGAGGGCTGGTGGAGTGGCTCAAGGTGTAGGCCCTGAGTGCAAACCTCAGTACTGCAAAAAAAAAAAAGGGGGGGTCTCATGAACTATTTGCCAGGGTTAACTTTGAACCTCCATCTTCCTGATCTCCGCTTCCCAAGTAGTTAGGATTACAGGTGTAAGCCACCAGCGCCCAGCTGCATGCAGTTTTGACAAGCACTGTCAAATAATAATAAACAAAATCAAAAGAAATTTCAAAAAAGAAAAACTTTAAATTTTGGACAGGAAGAGTGGCTCAAGCAGTAGAGCACCTGCTTTGCAAGTGTGGAACCCTGAGTTCAAACCCTGGCCCCACCAATAAATAAATAAATAAATTCTCCCATGTGCAGTCAGTTGAAGTAGTGAAGCTGTCAGTTGGTCCCATGTTATTGTCATCTATGTTAAAATTGCTGCATGATCTACTGAGTGTTTTTCCTGCCCTTAATTTTATGAAACTATGCCTCCCAAAAAAGCAACTGAGCCTACAAGCCAGTTAAAAGTTAATATACTTAATTTAAGTGATAAAATGAAAATCTTAGATTTGTTGAAAGGTGGTATGTCTTTGGTAGGAGCTGCACAGCATTTTGGGAAAAATAAATCAAGCCTCTGCAGTATTCAACATAAAGACCATGAATAAGGTCTAGTTTTTGGTGAGCAGCATTAATGCGTACAACAGTAATTTCTGTGACAGTAATGTAGCCTTCTTTCTCCGCATGTTTGCAATCATGGATGCTCAGACCTACTGTATGTAGGGTAGAGGTAAAATTGAGTGACTTTAGAGAACTGAACTCTCCCTGTCCTGAGCATCACGAAGCTGCCATTTCTTCAATGGCTGATTCCTTGGAACACCTGTGGATACCAAAGGCTGGGGGCGTGACTCAAGTGGTAGAGCACTTGCCTAGCACGCTCAAGGCACTGGGTTCAATCACCAGTACCACAAAACAAAACAACAACAAAATGAAACAAACAAACAAAAGCCAGAAAGAGTCAGGCGCAGTGGCTCATGCCTGCAATCATAACTACTTGGGAGGCTAAGATCAGGAGGATTGTGGTTCAAGGCCAGCCCAGGTAAATAGTTTGAGAAACCCCATCTCCAAAATAGCTAGAGCAAAATGGGCTGGAGATGTGGCTCAAGCAATAGAGCGCCTGCTTTGCAAGTGTGAAGATTTGAGTTCAAACCCCAGTCCCACAAAAAAAAAAAAAAAAAAAAAGAGAGAGAGATCTGAGCTAGAATTAGCACTCTCCCTCTGCCTTGGCAAGTGATGCCCTCCACCATGTTTGATAAAGTAAGAAGGCCTTCACTCGATGCTGGTGTCATTCTCTTGGGACTTCCCAGCTCCCAGATCTATGTGCTCAAACTCTGGATCCTCCTGACTCCACCTCCTGAGTGCTGGGATTACAGATGTGCTCTACCACACCCAGCACTATAAACCTCTCTTGTTCTTAAGGTTCCCAGTCTCTGGCATTCTGTGACAGCAACAGGAAGCAGACTAAGTCACTTGGAAAAATAAGCCTTTACTACTTGACCCCTTCTCCCAACCCCTGTAGCCAAAGGCCCCAAGGGTCTCTCTGCCTGCTGCAAACCAGCTCCCTCTCCAAGGCCCAGCTTCAGTGACCTCACTATCAGGCCTTCTCAGCCTCAGGGCTGCTGGCATTGGGCTGGATAATTCTTTTTTCTTTTTGGTTGGGGGGGGGGCTGCTCTGTGCATTGTGGGATGCTTAGGAGCATCTAGCTACCTGCTGGATGCCAGTATCATCCCTTCCCCAGTTGTGGCAACCAAAAATACCTTCAGTTATGGCTAAATGTCCCAGTGGGGGGGTGGGGGTGGGGACAAAAATCGCCCTCAACTGGGAGCATCAGGTTACAACAGCTGGCTAGTTTCTCCTGCCTCCACCCTACTTTGTTCTTATAGCCATGGTGACATTTATCAGCATATACAGTAAACTGCATTTGATTCTTTCTGTCCCTGCCCCCCTACCATGATGACATCAGCATCTTTCGGGGGCAAGGATCAGATTGCTTTAATTGCTGAAATTAGTCAAATTCTGTTGCTACCACTTTCTTGCTGTGTGACAGGCCAACTACTTGGCTTGAGTGAGCCTATATAAAAAGGAAATAAAAGCCTCTATTCCAGAGGGCTGTGTGGTGAGTGCCTTATTTGCACCATGCCTGGCCCACAGCAAGGGATGGATCGATGTTAGGTTTTTCTTTTTTATACTCAGGGCCTCCTGCTTGCTCGGCAGGCACTCTTACCACTTGAGCGATGCTTCTAGCCTGTTTGCTTTTAGTTATTTTTCAAATATGGTTTTAGTTTATGTCCAGGCTGGCCAGGACCCCAATCTTCTCTTTATGCTTCCTGCATAGCTGGGAGGACAAGTGCGAACCACCACACCCAGCTTTTATTGGTTGAGATGGGGGTCTCACAAACTTTTTTGCCCAGGTTGGCTACGAAACTTAATCCTCCTAATTTCTGCCTCTGGAGTGGCTAGGATTACAGGCATGAGCCTCCTGTACCTGGCCAGCTTTTATTATGGATAAACGCCCTGAAGCATAGCCAGAACAGTATGCCAAGGTGTGGTTGGGGCCACCAGAAGCACCAAGTCCCTATTCTCCCATGTTCATGTTTGCAGCAAAGGAGATGACAGATGGTGCAGGTCTTTGCAAATAAAGCAGCATGCTCCAAGCAGCCATTACTGTGAGCTGTAAGGGTTGATACTGACAGAGCCTTTCCTATTGACCAGGGGCTTTAACATCCACCGCCGCCCCGGACACTCACCCTGAAATGTGCACACTGGCCCCCAAGCACCTTCCACTCAGTGGTTTGAAAGACCTTTAATAGAACCCTCCTGTCTCTGTCCCGTTCTCCAGAGGCATCAGGACAGGGTGACCCAGTGCAGTGTGGACTTGTCTCTCCCTCCTCCAAGCAAGGGTGAAGCAGAGGATGGAGCTTTGGCACAGTTTCCTTTCATGTCCCTTGAGAGGATTTCTGAGTCACTATCTCCAGGGGACAATGGTGTGCTCTTGTGACAGGAGCCTGGAGGAAGAAGCTTCTGCAGTCCTGGGCTCAGAGTGAGATCTGGAATCTGATCCAGGTCTCTGTGATCCTGAACCTTGAAGCAGAAGCCAGTGGGGTGGCAGCTCTGCTGGTGTGGCTTTGAGGTGTGGGTTACACCCCTGGCGTCTCTCTGGGCAGCTTGGGAAGCCAGGTTCTGCTCCCCATGGGAGAATTAGAGGAAGGGGCAGGACTGGGTTTTCCAGGAAGACAGTTGGGGAGCATGAACGTGATCAGTGTCTTCTGGGGCTTGGTGGAGATCACAGAAAGCCTCAGCCTCAGAAAGGCGCCCTGTCTCTGGCCTGCACCCAATCTGTTCGACTGGCAGTTCCAAGAGCAATGGGAAGTCAAGAGCCTGGAGGCTGGACCGGTTCCCTGGGACCCTGAGGCCCCAGGAACTGCTGGGCAGTGGTTGTCAGCAAAGAGGAAAGGTCCAAGAGAGCCGGGTGTGACCAGTTAGGGATCCACAAAGGAGACAGCGATGTAGCGGGTGCCCCTGGTGGTAGGGAGCCCCTCGTGGTAGTGCGTGAGCCGCCCAGGGTGCATGAGAGCCCAGCCCTTCCGTGGGGCTCGGATGGAGCAGTTGTAGCGCAGGAACCGACAGCCTCCACCCTGGAAGAGAGGAAGCATCAGTGCCCCAGTGGAAGCTGGGTCCTTCACCCACTGCCCATGTGGTCTCGGTACTGTTCTCTGTTTAGCCGCAACCAAGGGGCCCTTGGCACAGCTGGCTGTGAGGTGCCAGTGAAGCCACAGCCTGAGAATGACACTGAGCAAAGACTGGTTGGTCAGGAGCTCTGGCCTTGGAGTTGGGCAGCCTTGGTGACAAGCCTCAGTTTCCCCTTCTGTAAAGTGGGAGTAAATTGCACAGAGTTGTGAAAATTAAATAAGAAGGAACAGTAAGGTGGGAGGAGGAGGAGGAGGAGAAAAAAAAAGAAAAGAAAGCCCTTAGGGCCAAGTTACTCAATGCCACCATTGTAGAAACTGTTGTGGGAGGGTCCTGGGGCATCCCTGGCCTCTCACTGGATGTCAGTGGTACCCTCAGCTGTGACAACCCAAAATTCCCTAGGGGGGCAAAAATTCCTGATAGACTGTTAGCTCTCAAAAACTCACAGCAGTTTATTTTTTTTTTAATATTTTTCTCTTTTTTCACAGTAGTTTTTATGGGCATCCTTCATGGCCTAGCCCAGGGCCAAGTGCAAAGGAACGCCTAACAACTAGTAGCTTAAAGAGGGAAGGTAGGCACAGCAGCACCCTAACTGGCCACATGAAAGACCCCCAGAACTGCCTCCCTCTTTTCTCCAGCCGCAAGCCTGTATCCCACCCCCAGACTAACACCTACCACCCTCCCCACCATTCCCAAAGCAGCCCTCCTCCTTCCCCTATGAGGCAAACCCTAGGCTGGTGTTCCTTGAGTACCTGTTGGGTTCCCTATAAGCAAAGACTGGGTGAACTCATTTGTTTTCACAACTCTTGAGAGCACTCAGTTTCCCCACCTGAGACATGAGGAAACTGAGAAGCTCAGAAACTTGCCGAGGCCACAGAGCTGGTTAGGAGGAAGGCAGGATCGAGAGCCAGGCAGTTTGATACCAGACCTTTTGGAGTTTGTTCTCTGCCACCGCTAAAGCCCCCTTCTGCCTAACTGTGATCCAAGTCCACTCCTTCCAGGAAGCCCTCCCTATGCACCTGGCACCCTTTATCTCTGGCTCTCTGGCCCTAGAGTCTCTTGGACCCCTCTGCCACAACTGTGTGCTGCTCACTAGCCAGCCTCCTTCCTCCCTTCAGCCAGCCCCAGGGCCCCAGGTGGGCCCCGCTCACCTCATAATCCTCCCCAACCCGGTTCAGAGCGATATTGACGGTGAAGGTGGAGGCATCATGGTGAGGCATCAGTGAGGGCTGTTCATCAGGCTTGTAGCGGACAACGAAGGCCAAATCAAACTGGGCCTGTGTCAGGGTAGGGAACAAGGGGACCCATGTCAGTTGAGAGGAGCCACAGAGGGCCAGGAGAGGCAGGGATGGAAGGACAGAGAGGAGTAGTGGAAGGAAGGAATAGAAAGGTGGGAAGGGAGGAAGGGAAGGCAGGAGGAGGGCAGGAATGAGTCTTATCCTCACGACCCATTTTGGCAACTATCTTGGCTGCTGATTCCTCGAGAGCAGGACTGGGGCACACCTGTGCAGGTGTGTGGAGAAAAGCACATGAACAAGGAAGTAACTGAGCTGTTGAGGGAGTGAGAAAGCCAGAGGTGCAGTGGACAGGTGTACAAGAGTGATGGTGCTAGAGACCCCAAGGGAAGGAATGAATATGTGGCCAGCTGAGCCATCCAGGCAAGGTTTCTAAAGAGGCCTGGTCAGAGGCTAGAGCAGTGTTCCAAGGCCCTGCCTCCCAAGGCCCTGCCTCCCCATACCCTCAACTCCCCATTCCTTGCCTGATGGTGGAGAGACCCCACTGCTCCTGATGGCAGAGGGGAGAATCACTTCCTTCCCTTCCCACCCCACCCCTTAGATGCTCCACCCCCTCCTCTCATCCTGGCTGCACCCCAGGCTCCCTTACCTTGGTGTAGTACCCGGGATAGAGCTTCTCCGTCAAGGGGGCGATGTATTCCACCAAGAACTTGTGCCACTCCCGCTCGAAGTTGATCTGGTTCATGTGGATGTCGATGGTGGGCACGTTTTCATACCCACCCTGGATGCGGGTGTCCTGGAAGTGACCACAGAGAGTATGGCAGGCAGAATTCCAAGATGGCCTCCCAGATTCCCGTGCTCTGGGGTATAGGCTGTGTCTAATGCCCTCTTCTTGACCTGGGCATAGGATGGACTGAATTAAATTATATGGGGTTTTTCACATATAATTAAGGCCCCTATTCAGTTGACTTTTTTAATCAAAAAGGGAGGTTTGTGAAGGGAACAGACACCTAAATACGCTTATAATAGAACTCTTAGTGCAATAAGTGACTCACTTTCCTAGCCAGCCTGCTTTCACTTATGCAAGTTTTTTACAACAAAAGCTTTAAACAAAGTCAGGCACTTGTGGCTCAGGCCTGTAATCCTAGCTATTCAGGAGGCAGAGATCAGGAGGATCTCTGGTTGAAGCCAGCACGGGTGGAGTGGCTCAAGGTGTAGGCCCTGAGTTGAAACCCCAATACTGCCAAAAAAAAAAAAAGTTTTAAACAGACATTCTTTTTCTTTTGTCTTTTCTCCCCTTCCATTGCCCCCCAGGCGAGGGAACTCAGAACATTTTTTTTTTGTTTTCTGGTACTGGGGTTTGAACTTGAGCCAAGTTCCACTAGCCTTTTTTTGTGATGGGTGTTTTCCAGAGAGAGTCTCCCAGGCTGGCTTTGAACAGTAATCCTCCCAATCTCAGCCTCCCAAGTAGTGTGAGCCACCAGTGCCCAGCAACACGACATCATCAAATTTTTTGGTGGGGGGGTGATACTAGGGTTTGAATTTAGAGCCTCACGCTTGCCAGGCTTGCTAGGCAGGCACTCTACCACTTGAGCCATTCCACCAGCCCAAAATTCAAGAATGTCTTTTCAGCTCAGGCAAGGTCACCACTCTCCTCTCCTTAGCTCCTGAATGAAGAAACATTCAGGACGGCAAGACATGGGGGAGAAATAACCCAAGCCTTATATGCACATATGAATAATAAAATAATAATAAAAAAAAAAGGACAGCAAGACACACAGAACACTGGGAAATAAGCAGACCCACAGCCACTATGTAACCCACAGTCATGCCTTAGCACATATATCCGGAAGCACATACTCTTAGGCTTGCGCTTTCCTTTAAAAAACTGTCTCCTCGATAGGACTGTAGAGAGAGCAGCTCACTGCAGTCCTCATTTTGCCTGACAAAATTAATAAACCTTTCCTTCCTTTTCTCCCAAACCCTGCTCATTTGTGAATTGGCATTGAGTTCAGGGGACCAAATTTCCAGTATCAAGGTTAGCCTGGGTGGGCCAGACTTATTAGGTTAAATTAAATTAAATTTAATTTCTTTATCTTTGGCGGTACTGGAGTTGAAACTCAGAGCCTACATCTTGAGCCACTCCACCAGCCCTTTTTTGTGATGGGTATTTTCAAGATAGAGTCTCCTGAACTATTTTCCTAGGCTGGCTTCAAACCAAGATCCTCTTGATCTCTGCCTCCTGAGTAGCTAGGATTACAGGTGTGAACCACCAGCACCCAGCCACTGATGGGCTTGAGCTGGTGCCTCACCCCAGAATCCTAGCTACTCAGGAAGTAGATATCAGGAGGATCACAGGCTGAGGCCAGCATGGGCAAAAAGCAAGACCCTATTTCAAAAATACCCAACACAAAAAGGGCTGGTGAAGTGGCTCAAGTGGTAGAGCGCCTGTCTCGCTAGTGTGAGACCCTGAGTTCAAACCCTAGTAACACACACACACACAAAGCAGCACCTGAACTTCCCAAAATCAGGTGCAGGCAAAGCATTTTCCTTCAGAGAACATACAGCATCTTGTGTCCATCATGCCTCTTGCGTGGGCTGTCTGATGAACTTGGACCTGGTGCCATGTCCTGATGTCCCTCCTCCTACACTTGCTCATTCCCCATTCCATACTTAAGTCTTGGGTAGGGAGCTAAACCTTTCTAATAATAAAATGGGAAGAGAAGACTTAACAACGTACAATTAAGGCAACTCAAAGTCACACAGTGGTATTGGCTGCTTGGGGACCAACTCTCTACCCCCAGTTTCTCAATTCCTCTATCCCTGACTACCTGCAGGCACCCCTGCCAGCACCCCCTCCAAAGTTAAACGTCCCAGAGAGAGTGCCGGGTGGCCAGGAGAAAAGCCCAGAAAGGTGGTATTCACTGAGGGCAGCCTCTCTGCAGCCCCAAGCCCCGTATCTGGCCCTACCTTGTTATCACCCAGAGACCACTGGCCGAAGTGCTCCATTTCCTCCACAAGCTCATCGCAGGCTGCCTCCGTGAAGATGGGGAACCAGTAGACATCTGGGCAAGGCTGAGAAGACAGAGGACTAGGTCATCAAAGTCCAGAGGGAGAGCAACCCATCATTCTGACTGTGGGACCTGCTGCAGGGCCCCTTGTGTGGTCTATCCCTGCCCTGAACCCAACAGCCCTCTATTTGCCTTCTGAGTGCCCCCAAGGTACAGGGGCTCAGTGGATATAGGCAGACTGAATGAGCTCTGGCAGAGCTCAGAGCCAGACATTCTCAGCCATGGTCACAGAGTGCCAGTGTCAGGACGATGAAAAGCAGCAGCACACCTAGGGAAGGGAGGCTGCAGGCTTGGGGGAAGCAGCTGTGAACAATAGGACAGAGCCACCCACTCCTTACTCTGGCTAGAGATCCCATTCAGAGATGTTTTCTTCCTTTCTGCCTAAGCTAGGGAAAGGCCCAAGATCCCCAAGGCCCCTGTAGACCTCATCTGTGAAGTGCCAGCAGGGATAGAGGGGCCACCCCACCACCCATTTCTCTTGCTACAAGCGCTGCCAGAGCAGGCAGGCTCCTCCCGGTCCCTCCCCTCTGCCATCAACCCGTGTCGATCTTCTATGCCCCACGGCAGCAGGTATGGGGTGCAAACTCGGTAGCCTTGCTCTCAGGGGTGTCCACAGCCCTCACCGTCTCCACCAGCTTCCCAGCCAGGGCCTTGGTGTAATCCTCATGGATGTACTTCTCCTTCCAGTCCTGTGGGGAAGTGAAAGCAGGCTGGGGTCCTCAGGGCTGGCCTGAGCCAGCTGGCCTCACCACTGCTCAACTCCTCAGGATATTCCAAGGAAGGTCTCCTTCCCACAGGACCCCAGGAAATGTGAGTGGATATGAGCACTTTTGGGGCAGGTAGGTATTTACCTGAGCCTGCTGGCTGTGTGTGCACTGTCTGGGTGCACAAGTGTGCCCACAGGAGGTGGTATCTTCACGTGTATGTACATGCATGTGTCTGTGTGAAGGACTACCCATGTCAGCTACAAGCTCCCAACATCTACATTGTCATGACTGTCTCCTCTGATCATTACAGCACTCTCAGAAGAAGGCAGGCTGGGATGGTACACCCATTTTAGAGCATAGATAAATGAGGCCCCAAAAATTTGAGAGGCTCAACTTAGTCTCAGCTGATAGATGGGCCACAAAACCAGGCCTCTGATGCCTGGCCCCTCCTCCACTAGATGGCGCCGTCTCTAAGGCGTTCTCCCCCTTACCAGGATCCTGTCCTGGGAGGAAGCCAGGGCGTCTCCTCTAATCCTGGCCTCTGGGCCTCACCTCAGGGTTGCTGAACACCTCCCAGAGATCACTGTGGAGGTGGGTGGTCTGATAGTTGTCCAGGGAGAGCAGGTGGCCGAAGGTGTGCCGGTTAGTCAGGAACATGAAGACCTCCTGGGGAGAGCAGTCAGATGGATGGAGCAGGCCTCCTCCTCCCTACAGCTTGCTCCACCACCAGATTCAAGTTCGTAAGATTAGTGCCTGATGAGCAGAGTCACACCCAGGTCCCCAGCACCTGGCCCAACCAGGGAAGGCTTCCTGGAGGACTGAATAGGGAATAAAAGAACATCCCCTTCTGTGCTGGGGATGGAACCCAGGGCCTCACTCTGGGGAAGCACTCTGCCCAGGTTATGTTCTGATCTTGAAGTTTTGATCACAGGGGAAGACCTCACCAAACTGTCATATATTTAAAAAAAAAAAAGAAAAGAAAAAGAAAAAATCATTGAGCGAAGCCCCGTGTTCCATCCCCAGCAACCTGAGGCCAGCCCTGAAAATAGCACAAGACCCTACCTGAAAACTAACTAAAATGAAAAGGGCTGGGGCACGGCTCAAATGTGAGTGTCTGAGTTTAATCCCTAGCACAGAAGAAAACGAGAGAAAGTCAGAAAAACAAGAAATATGAGGTGGAATGCAGAGACAAGGTAAGGTGGAAAGCTTTTCTTTGTTATGTCAAAAATATAACTAAAGGAGGTGCTGCGAAACTGCACCTGGGACCACTGCACTAGTCCTAGCAGACGCTTGGGGACCAGTCTTCTATTCAGGGCCCCAGGCACCTCCACCAGGCCCTGCTGGCCTCTCAGAAGCTCCAGAGCCATTGGTGACAAGGCAGCCCACCATGAAGTCAGAGCCAATAGGGTCTCCTGTGACCATCCAGACCCGCTCACCTGCTGCCGGATATTGGCACAAAAGGCCATGTCGGCGTCCAGCTTGCTGTGGTGGAACAGGTCAGGGTGCAGCAGCTCAGCCCGCAAGATACTGCCTTTGATCAGGTAGATGTTTGAAATGTAGGGCACATTCCAGACGCCACTAAGGGACAGAGACAAAGATTGAAGGAGGGGTCACAGGCTGGGAGGGCTGGTTTGATAGTGCTGATTTGATTCTCCTACCCTGGGCACCTAGGCCCAGAACAAGTGTCAGGAAGTCCTTCTGTGTGTCTGACTGTGGACTTGCTTCATGTTCAGCAGAAATTTGAGGGTAATCAGATCAGGAATATTGGGGAAGGAGCACCTGCAGCCCAGGAGGAAGAGAGATTAAGGTGCCCCATGCAGGTACTCACACTCTTCGGCCCTGCACGATGTCCACGTAGTCCTCAGAGCGGGCGTAGTAGCCATCTGCACTCAGTGCCCCCCAGAAGTTGGACCACAGCCTCCCATGGCGGGTCACGAGCGGGGCAATGACATTCCTGAGGAAGAGAGGGGCTCAGCAGGGGCTGGAAGCAGACCTGCCTGGAGATAAGGAAGGGGTGGGGCCTGGCGACCTGCAAGCAGGGGTCTCTGCACCTCACTGGGACAGGAGGGCCTTGCTTGGAGGGGGGTGGGTTGGCTCATCAGACTCCTCTTGCCTGTGCCTGGGAAGGTACTATTCTCCATCAGTCCTGGAGTTGCCAGGCTGGGCATCCTGCATCCCAGGTCATAGAAAAGGCCGAAGAGGAGGAGGAGGAGGAGGGAGGGAATGAGGGAGGAGATGATGGAGGAGGAAGGCCAGGGGCTCCCATCCTGCCCAGGCCTCTCCCATACAGTGCTGGGCAGGGCGGGCTCACTTGTTCTGCTCAATCAGCAACTGCAGGCTATCCGGCTCGGTCAGGGCCACGTCAGCGTCCACACTAAAGTAGTAAGTGCAGGTCCGGTCCTGGCGGCACAGGTCACTGCAAGGAGGAAGGCATAGGATAAGTTGAGCTGGTCCTGAAGCTACCCCAGTGGCTGCCTACATCTGTTACTATAGTTTGGCCTCACAATGTACCACAGAGGGGCCTTAAAGACAGCCCTGGTGCAGGCTGGGACCTTGAAGGTACCTCCCAACTCTGAGACCCACACCCAAGGTGTCCTGTGCCCTCAAGACAATGGACCAGAGCTTGGTAAAGGGCAAACTCTGTTATTGGGGTGAGCACAGCCCACCACAGGCCTCTACACTGTCTGGGGTAGGGGGTGCTGGTGCTGTCTTTTTGGAGAGCAACTTGGAAACTTGTACCAAAAGCCTTAAAGATGGAGGCTGGGGGTGTAGCTCCATGGTAGAGCACTTGCCTTGCATGCACAAAGCCCTAGGTTGCATCTGTAGCACTATATAAAATAAATACATAAAAACATATGTCTTTTTTGTTCCCTGGTTCAGGGCTCAGCAAACTATGGTCCCTGGTCCAAATCTTCCTACTGTCTTGTTTTGTACAGCTCATGAGCTAAGAATGGTTTTCCATTCTTAAATGATTGGGGAAGGAGGACTGAAAGAACACGTGAAAATTATGCCTTCCTTAGAGAAAGTCAAATTTGTGTCCATGAATAAAATTTCGCTGGAACACAGCTGAATTCATTTTGTATCATCTGTGGCTGCCTTTATGCTACAAGGGCAGAGCTCAGCCATGACCACAGAGCCTGTAAATCCGATTCGTGGGTCAATCTACTACCTAGTCCTTCATAGGAAGCTGCCAACCTTGGGTCTGATGTGACAAATTCTACAGCCAACACAAAATACATCTCTGCTTCTTGTTTTTGGGGTTTTCTTTTTAATAACAAAAGAAAAGGCCAGTACCAGGGGCTCACGCCTATAATCCTAGCTACTTAGGAAGGAGGCTGAAATTAGGAGGATCAAGTTTTGAGGCAAGCCAGGGCAAACAGTTCATTAGATTCCATCTCCAAAATAACCAGAGCAGGGCTGGTGGGGTGGCTCAAGTAGGTGGTAGAGCACTTGCTTTACAAGTGCAAAGCCCTAAGTTCAAACCCCAGGCCCACCAGGCGATAAATAATAATAAAGAAAAAACAAAGAGGTTGTTTCTCTGTCAGCCTTTGCCTACTTCCGGTCCTCGAGACCTTCCTCTTTCCTTAATTTGCTTCCTGAGCCCAAGTGACACTGCTTACCAATGTCATTTGGCAGAAGGGAACTCTGAGGCCCAGGAAGTAGCTGGAATGTGCTGGAGACCACAGATCCTTGTGTCTTCCTGTCCCTCCATCTCTGCTCCTAATGCCATGGCCCATCTGCCCACCACCGCCACCATCACCGTCAGCCAAGAAAACCTCGGCCTCCCGACTCACGCGCCCATGTTCCTGGCCTCCGCGTTTGCCATCCGCACCTCTGGGCCCACCAGTTTCACAGACTGGTACTTGTCACCATGCTCTGTCAAGAACTGCTCCACCTGAGCCCTGTGGTGCTGCTCCTGGGGGTGGGGACAGAGGAGTGAGTATGAAGGCACAGGTGCCACCCCAAGGACCACAGTACCTCTGTCATAGCCACCCGTAGTTTATGAGTACACGGGGAAGCTGCAAGCCTCCCCAGGGACTCCCCAGTGTCCCTCCTGTGTCCAGGTCGCCTGCAGCACACTTGAAATGAATGCCAGTGACTCCAGGAGGAAGCTGAGCTTGGGACAAGGGCACACTGTTAGACCTGAAAGGTCTGGGGGTGGGTGCACAGACAGCATGGCTGAGAAGACTTCAGTGAAGACAAAGAGCCCTGCAGAACAGGCAGGATTTAGCGGTCGCTGGCATCACCACTGGAAAACTGATCAAAGCAGAGGCTGAGAGGTGGGACTTTAGAACTGGAAGGGAAGGTGGGAGGGAGTGAGCTGGGTGATGGGTACAGGCCTGCTCCCCACAGAGCAATGGCCTCAGCACACTCCTGACTCCCAGAAGGTTCTCAAGGAATGAAAACCAAGTTGACTGTCACCAATCGAATTAGAAATGGGACAGGGATAGAAATGAAAATGACAATAGACAAGACCACCTACTATGTGCAGCCTGGTACCAGGCATCCTTCTAGGCACTTCAAACATCAACTTGCTTAACCCTTGCAGCACATCTATGTGGTCGGCACTGTTGTTACTCCATTTATTTATTTACTTACTTATTTATTATTTATTCATTTATTTTTTTGAGAGAGGCTCTTACTGTGTACTTATTGATTCTCCTGCCTCAGCCTCCCTGGTGCTGGGATTACAAATATGTGCCACCACACACAGTTATTACTCCTATTTCATATGGAAGGCTTGGTAGAGTGGCTCAAGTGGTACAGTGCCTGCCTAACAAACATGAGGCCCTAAGTTTAAGTCCCAGTGCATGACACCAAAAAAAAAAAAAAAGAGTATGCTGTGAGTGCTTTCAATCATTTGCCAGGTGTTGGTGGTTCACACCTGTAATCCTAGCTACTCCAGAGGCAGAGATCAGGAAGACTGTGGTTTGAAGCCAGCCTGGGCAAATAGTTTGCAAGACCCTATCTTGAAAAACCCCATCACAAAAAAGGGCTGGTGGAGTGGTTCAAGTGAGTACCTGCCTAGCAAGCATGAGGCCCTGAGTTCAAACCCTAGTAATACACACACAAGAAATGGAAGCACAGAGGTTGAGGTACAAACCCGAGGTCACATAGCCAATAAAAGCAATAGAAGGAGTCAAGCCAGCCAGTCTTGACTCCAAAGCCAACCTAGTGATCTGGAGACTCAGCCTCCCACCCACTTCCATTTGGCTCAAATAAACCTGGTTCAGCTGGCTCCTCAGGGGAGTCAGGCCACCTCATAAGGCTGCACCCTTGAGCCAAGCCACACAAAGCCCCCAGAGTGCTGCTACTCACATGGTTGTGAATAAAGAGCCGCATCTGTTTCTGAGGGTAGCGGAGGCGCAGAAGTCGCTGAAAGAACAGGGACAGGAACGGTGTGGGCTGCTCAATGAACACGCCCACCAGGACCACCGGCAGAGCTTCATCCTGTGTGGGGGATGGGAGACAACAGCAGTCCAGCAGTGTCCAGCCACTGCACCGCCACCAAGACCTTAGCGTGGCCCAAGGGAACCAAAGTCACAAACAAGAGTCCGTGGCCTCAGGAGGACAGCAGCCTGGGCCTGGGAGCACCACAGGGGCTGTGCAGGCGGGTAGAGGCAGGGCTGGCAGTAAATGGCAGAGGCCACCCCAGATGGAGTGGCGGGAACCAAGGCTCAGAGCAGGGTGGTGAACGGCACGCTGTCAGGAGAGCTGGGCTGTAAATGAAGACCAGGGCTCCTGGGATGGGGAGAGGCTGCAGGAGCCTGAAGGACCAGGCAGAAGAAACCAGAACTCAAGCATACAGATGGAGGCTGGGGCCTGAACAGTTTACAGGGCTTCTAGGAGGCGGCTTCAAGAGGGACGGGAACCCAGACAGGAAAGTGACCTCTTTACCTACCACTAGCGATAACAGAATCTATTCTGAGTCGCTCATTCTCCTCCCCATACTCCAGTCCCCACTGGGATTGACCCCCAAAGTCCCACCAGCAGTCTCACCCCAATGCCTTTGAGGCTGCGCAGACCCTCGTCGCACACGGTGCAGCCCGTCTCAAAGGTCCAGAAGCGGGGAATGTAGTTGCCCAGGTAATTCAGCTGCAGCTGTTGGGAGACACAAGGTTGGAGAGGAGCCAGGCCAGCCTTCCCACCCGCAGCCACCAAGTCACATCTCCCAGACCCCTGGTGGGCCCACATAACCCAGCCCTTCCCACCCCTAGTGGGTCTTGGATGGAAGGTTCTATCTCCAGGAGATTGTGAGGCCGCTCGCAGGGAGGGCAGAGGGAGGGCTTGCTGCTACAGGGCTTCATCCTTGGATCTCCTGGGTGCTGTAAGATGCAGATTCCTGGGCCCCACCCTCAGAAGTCCCCTTGGAACAAATCCTGGGTGGAGTCAAGAAATCGCCATTTTTAGGGACAGGTGCCAGTGGCTCATGCCTGTAAACTTAGCTACTTGGGAGGCTCAGATTGGGAGGATCAGGGTTCCAGGCCAGCCTAGGCAAATAGTTTGTAAGACCCCATCTCCAAAATAACCAGAACAAAATGGACTAGAGGAGTGGCTCAAGTGGTAAGAGTGCCTGCTTTGCAAGTATGAAGCCCTGAGTTCAAACCCTGAACCCATCCAAAAAAAAGGAAATCTTCACTTTTTAAATATAATTTCCTTCCTCTCCCTCCCATGTGATTCTGCTGCAGTAGAGGACAAAGAAACATGCTATGAGCCAGGGCCACTTATCTAGGTCTGCCCTGTCCCCAGCTGCCACCTTCCCCCAGCCCCTTCCCTAGCACCATGAATGCAGGGACTGTCTGTCCTATCTATCCCCTGGTGCACCCAGTAGTGTTTGTTGAGTGAATAAATGACTCTGCCCTAGGTGACAGTGTACAGATAGCTATGGCTGTCCACTCTAGGCTTGGATGGCGATAGTGACCTCTTTATGTGTCCTGTAGGCCAACAGGAAGAATAAGGCACCACTGACCACCACAATAATGTAAGGCGACTCCACACCCAGCTCACATGGGAGGGCAGAGGTGGTGAGCTCACAGCAGGACCCCAGGAGGTAGCCTTGGTCCCAAGAGCAGAATTGGAGTTATAGCCCCCCCCACCCCATACTCCCAGGGGGCTGGGTCCCCCTACCTTGGTGGGCCCGTTGCCGTGGATCAGGACGGGGAGTGTGTCATATGCCAGATTCCGTGCTCTCACGTGGCCCATTTCAAACTTGAGCACAACCTCATCTGTGGGTGAGAAAGCAGAGCCCTGTCCAGCATCAGGAAGGGAGGCTGAGCCTGGGAACTGACCAGCTGAGAGCAGGCCAAGGCCTTGGCAAGTCACTTCACCTCTCTGAGCCTCAGTTTTCCCATCTGTCAAATGCAGATAATCCCTTCTTCATGGAGTGAGGGGAGGATTGTGTGCCCAGCAAGCACTTGGCTCAACTAACACGCAGTGAACAGAGTCCACACAATCACTGTATTTAGAGCCAGAAGTGGGGATGGGAGAAGAACAATGACTACAACATCTTGGCTCAGACATGCAGAACAGCATCGAGAATACACCAGTGACAATGGGAGGCCTGGGCAGGGGAGCCCCTACAGCAGGGCCCCAGCCAGGGCTCTGATCCCCTTGGTCTGACTATAAGAAAAAGGTAGGAAGTGGATGACAGTATGAACTGCACAGAGCCTGAGAAGACACTGGAGCAGGATCTTTCCTAGGGGTGATATGAGAGCCCCTCTGTATAAGGGCCTGGAATGACCCTACTCCACCGGAAACTCCAGGCGAAAGGGGGTGAGGTATCCGCCTTTTTCTGGGAGAAAAGCCAGACCTCCACCGGACCCTCAGAGAAAGGCTCAGTCCCATTTGTAGCCTGGACACTAAGGCCTGGGAGGGGACATGAGTGATGTCCTTGAGGTCACACACAGCAAGGCCTGTGGCAAACCAACATCGCCACTAGCCACGGACATGGAGCCCAGCCCAAGGGTGTTTGTGGCCCCAAGGGTGAAGCAGCCACTCTTCTTCCAAGTCATCCATTGACTTCCTCCTGCCCCAGTTCAATCCCCATCCA